TATTGATACATAGTGCTTAAATTTCTTGAATTTTGTTGCATTTTTAAAGGGGCAAAAAGTATTATAATTTACAATGCATCGTTCGGCGGCTGCATGCCATGTCTATCATATGCCCAGTGCTCCAATATGCACATTACCCGGTGGAAGAAATTAGTTTTCTGCCTTTAGCCCTACTTTTTTTTACTAAACATGAATTGACTGTTGGACCGTTCAGTGTTCTTCGTTTTTAATTGCAGTGTTATTATTTTCAGCTCCTAAGCAAGTAAAATAGATGGGGATTTACAAAACTGGGACTGAACGGAACTACGGGTTCTCTTAACGATGGGATCCCATCGCGCTTGCATCTGGGTCGTGCCGAACTCATCTTTGCACCATAAATCGATCGCTGGTTTCACGAGTCAAGTGTGCGGGTTTGTGACTCGGACGGCTTCCTGTACCAGGGGACGCATGGGGGTGGCATGCGGTGGCCTTGATTTGAAGCTTTCGTGACTGCAAGGATTCATACTCTTAGGTTTTTTCGGTAAAGTCACGTAGGTAAAAAATAAATCATAAAATATAATAGAAATAATATTTAATTTTTATTATTACTTCTATTTATTTTTATTATTTATTTTTCACCTACGTGACTTTACCGAAAAAACCTAAGAGTATATGGTGACCTCCCAACGAAAGATAGGTGGGGTGTCCCTGCCACTCCGTGCGCTTGTATCTTGCACGCCAACTTGCACTCGAAAAATGCACGCCCCATCTGGCAATGGTTTGTTGACAATGGGTGGCGTTTCCATGAGTTCAATAACATGTTTTGTTTTAATTCGCATTAAATCATTTATTTAACAACAAAAAAGTTGGATCTCTGTGCTGGACCATTTCCTTGTCGCCGAACATTGCGCACCGATGTTCATTTCACGTTTGTCCTTTGTTCTACTGTTTGTTGTAGGAATTAGAGCTCGCTCTTCTGGCAAGCGGGTTCCTTGACCATTTCTCAACACATTGGGTGTTCTTACAAATCAAATGATTGTTCTGCCACCATCTCGCATAGAGAATCTTAGGCGAGTAGGTTTATCACTTCTGTTGCAATCGCAGTGTCATTTACAGCTTTTCGAACTGAACCGTGACGCTTCTATTATAACTATTACTAGTTAAGGCTTTGGTTTTTTATTGGTGTTACAGAGTTGTGGGCAAAGGTTGAAACTGAATTGGGATGTACAGTAACTTAGTTGTGAACTATTAACGCACAGTGGATTATTGTATTATTTTTATTATGATTATGATCGAGGCGTTTGGTCATGCGGTCCAGTTCAGCTGAGCGGCCGTGAAGATGCTGAACTGACTTTACAGTATTTGTTTTTATTATTTAGCGCTAATAATTCTCCGAGAAACGTGAATTCTCGCTGCGTTTTACTGCAATTAATATTTCACAACTGTGTTAATACATAATATATTGAACGGGAGGGGATACACCTATTTTGATTAAAACTTGGTTCGAAGTTTTAAAGTTCTGTGCATATAGTTATACGGTGTAATGTAAAGTGAGCGGGAAAAAAGACCTGCACATTTTAATAAACATTAAATCTCACAAAAGGAACCACTTGAGCCGATGTACTTGTTTCTTCAGTTGAGAAATACTCAATTTAATGTGAAATACGTTTAAGGCAAGATGAATTAATTCTACAGATGAATATAAATTTGGATTGCTTGTTCAATTAAGCGCTGTTAATATACAGGGCTCATGAAAAAAAACCCTACCATGCGTTCCGCGGACGATTTCCCTTGTAAAAAAAAATGCATCTTAAAAAATGAATTTCGCACCCACACCAGGGACTACGATTTGCGGAAAGTAAACGAGCGCAGTGTACCGTTTTTACAAAACAGCCAAGTATATTCTGTTGTGTAGATGCGTACAAGTATTTCCTCGACGGTATAAAATTTCCCTGCAACTTGTCACCGTGAGAGTTACTTTTGGTGCGCGTCTCTCAAGAACTCTGTGTGTACGAGGGGACAACGCTTTGTGGCTGCAGCGGTGTGCTATGGTATTAGTTGTGTGCTGTAGTTGTACTTCAATAGGTCGTGCTGTGATAACCCTGTGATGTTTAGACGCCGTTTGCTTAACTGGCACGACACTGCTATGCAGGATGGCCAGGCTAGCATCTCCCACTGTTAATTCCGCTTCACTCACTACCCCCCCCCCCCCCCCATCGTCACACCACCAGCACACACCACAATGCTTCATGTCATTCCACATTTAAAAAAAATCTATCTCGCTGCACGTCTCTCTAAGAGTCTGGCGTGGAAGTGATTATCCTAATTGCGAACTCTTTACATCCAGAGGAACCTATACGGTCGACTTTGTTGGGGCGGCTCGATTTTAGGATTGCAAACGCAATCAACCCATTATCCTGCAACACACAGGCTGATAATATAATTCGTGTACTGTCCTGGGAAGGAGTAGAGTTATAAGCCAGATGATCCAGGGCAATGTTTTTCAAGAGTTCTCGTGAGCTCCCTTATCAGCTACTTGCGCTGATGATCAAACCAATCAAAAGCTTCGTGTAAAGTGTGCGGAGGCTGACATTGCTTCTGAACAGCAAAGATGAATAAGCAGAAATCTGCACCATGGGGGGGGGGGCCAGGGGCCACGAGAACTCAAGATTTGAGAAACGCTGATCTCAGAGGAGGGGATCCGCACTCTTACTTGTCTGGTCGTGGCCCTGTGTAGCCGATATGATTTGTATGCCGTGCATAGCCGTACGCACTTCACAGGAGGTTATCCTGTTGGTGAATATTGCCAACAATTCAGGTGTGCATGCATTGTTGTAAAGGGATCATTATTATGAGCAGGTGTTTCTCATTTATATGCAAGTTGAAAAGCAAATATACTGGAGGTGGTAAAAAAGGATGAGGGTGGTATATTAAAAGTCGGCACTTTTTAAAGACTAAACTTTACGTAATGTAATGTTTTAATAAGCAGAAAGGAAGAGGACAACCATGTTTGTGAAGTCTGCCTTATCGTTTCTTTACACATCTGTTGGGGAACAGTTGTACTTTACAGAAGTGAATTCTGTTTTCAATGTAAGCGCACATTTTAATTGTAATATACCGGTACAGAAAGAACAACCGTAGCGTTGTACTGTCCTGTATTGGTCGCAAATGAAATGTGGGTTTCGAAATATTGCCAATGCTATGTTGATTTTGTTAGCGACTCAAGTCTCAAAATATTTGACCACCCCTTGTACACAACCTAATTGTCCTCTTCCAGGTGGGGTTTTCAGAAAGGCTCTGTAAATAAGAATTATCTAATAGGCTTTGCTTTGTACAATGAAAGTTTTTAACGTTGCTTGTATTAAGTGATACGTGATGAGTGTCTATCAAGTGCCACAACCATCGATGTTTTTCAACATGTTACCAGGACCACGGCTCGGCTAGGTAATGTCAAAATAACACCCTCTACCTTTCCAGCATCTTTCCTAATCACTGCCTCCACCCATGCAGTTGTCTTAATGAAGTGATTGTGTAGACGTGTGTTAAAAAGGCGTAAGGCATTTGTGCAGACCGAGTCAATTTGACCCTGCCATGTTACACATGCCACACAGAACGAACCCTTGCTTTTGTAGCATTTGTACATTGGCTTGTGGCCAGTGTGGGTTAAATGCACGCCTCTGTCCTTCCTCGTTATCCTTCGGACAGAACTTGGGTTTGGGCGTCCCAGAAAATGTGCACTTGCATATTTCTCCTCTGCGATTATAAATCTACTCTTATCAGGCAACAGTACAACCTGATTTTTTTTTCATGAGGGGCACATTATACATATTGATTAAAAACATTGCAAAGTTTTGCAAAAAAATTACTTAATACGACATTCATGGTCACATTTTATAACTGTATAGTTTATAATGTCCTGCTTTGGGTGTATACTGTAACGGTCTTTAATATGGCCAACATGGTTGTAGCTATGCTTTCAATATAATGTTATCAATTAACACATTTTTTAAAATGTGATGTTGGGAGCGTAGTTTGCGATTAACTATTGCCATCTAGTAAACAGAAGGCATCTGAAGCGAAAGCGACTTCAACTGTTACTTAAATGCTACTGGAAATGCATTAAAATGAAATATCTTTCATGCAGTTTTGCGTGTTTTTTCATGTTAAATTTAACAAAAGGTAATTACTTAAACTTCTTATATTTGATGTTGACTTCACATGTGAAAGACAGTTTAATTGGATCATTATAAGGCATGTCGGATGTAGTATTACGATTTCCACTTGCCATAATTCACATTTTAACTGAAGTGCACATTTGGCTTGAGTCATATCTTTGGAATATTAACTCTCAAAAGAGAAGCAAGTTATGCCGATTTTTCAGTAATAACCTGAAGCGCACTCAACCCTGTTGATACACTGTCAATTGTTTTCAGATTACATACTTCTGGTTTATTGGACTCAATCTATCCCCCATATGTTGGGCATTCAAGTTAGTTGAGCATCATCTAAATGGGGGGGGGGGGGGGGGGTGGAGTAGTGGCACCAACGGTGAACGCACTGCTACCACAACTCGATAACCAGTCATGGCTAACTAATCACGTGATATCTGAACTAATCAGTTCTGGCACAACCTCCACCATCCAAATTTACTGAGCATTACAGTACTATAGCAGCATTTACAGCACGAGGTACATGGTTTATTAAGCTATGCACATGCAGGTGAGGATTGTGTCAACATGGGCACCTAAGCCACGAGAGTTATACAGAATGGAGGCCTGGACTTCAAAGGTCCCAAACTACCATTTACGATTCATACTTAATTGCAAAACCAAGTCCCCAGTAAGTGCAGCAAAGTTGATCATATAACCCTACACAACTATTAATTACCCACCAGTGGATGAGATGGTTAAATAGCAGCCATCTGCCAATTCACAAACTTTCGCAGCAAGTGAAGCCTGAGAATGCATGCATACCTTCAAGTGATACACTGCAATTGCATAACAAATAGGCAGCTAATACGATGACATTTACTCCGCTTTATTGACGTCCAAACAGACGAACCTTACAGCTCACAATGAGGGAGACATATTTAGAAGACAAATGCCAACCTCGAGTGGGAGCATTCTCAGGGTGTCTTGTCGAGTGCTTGTAGAATCGCCAGTGTGAATCCTGCTGGATACGCATGCTGTTTGTGTACTCTGTGTATTCTTGTGTTTATGCTTCAGATGTGTGTGCCATGTTGTTCGCGTCTTGTGTAGCAAGTCCATTCTGTGCAGTGTGATTTTGTTGTGTCGTGTGTGCACTGAGCGTCTCTCGCTTCTTTGCATTTCACCCGGCTCTACAAGTTGTCACTTGAGGATAGTGTCGTCAGCTGCAGGTAGAGAAGCACAAGTAGATACGGCATTAGAAATTGAGTACCAATTTTATATGATGGCGGAAAACATTGTCAGATATGCAACAGGAGGAAACCACAATACCCACTAAACTCGGAAAATAAATGTATAACACTGCAAACTACATAAACACTGTATGAAATATAGTGTTCATATAGTGCTTGTCAGTTAGCCTAAAACTGGCTCGTGAAAGCAGTGGTTTGCCAAAACTTGGCATGAACAAAAATCACGCGATTGAAATATATCACATGTGTTCCAGTAGCTGTTTCAGAACAAGTCCCGTTGCAATAAATCTGTGCCGGCTTGTGTTTTATACATTTCGTGTGAACAAGAAGTTTGATGCACATGGCTTTTTGAAGAACACAGAGATCGACCGACCGAGCGCTGTGTCGAAAAGGGTGTCACGTTAACGAGTGACAAGGTTGAGTGAATGCGAGTATGTACATGCGGCAGCGATCTCGCGTGCAATCCGTTCCGACTCCTCTCGCTTCTGCCGCTCCTCCTCCTCTATCCGCCGCTCCTCTGCCGCGATGGGCTTCAGCCGTGCTACACGTGAAGCCACAAATTTAAATGTCAACACACAAATACATCTGCACACTCCAGCTTATATTGTATAAGATGTTCTAATTGCACATAAAGTTATCTGCCATAACTGGACGTGATATTGACACCGTTATAATTTTGAGCATAGTCAAACCATGTATCTTGTAAAATAATGTATTACACGTCAACTTATAGCATACAACTATTGTGCTTATACCTTAAAACACGATAGCATACATGAAAAACATGCGAAGTCCAAGTAATTTTTTACATAATGCCTCTGTGTGCTATCTGCATGACCTTTGGAAAATTATGCCACAAAACTTATTCTGTAATCCTTTTACATGAGATTACACATCCCCTATCCATCGGTGTTTGATGCATCGCCATCGGACCAAAGGTTTATGGACCAGCAATAACCCAAATGTTTTGTTAAAAATAATTGAAAGTTTAACACGTAGGCTTTCGCGACCAATATCCATAATACAAGTTTTTTTGGGTTAGATCGCCTGAAGCTAGTTGTAATTACTGGCGAAACGTCGTACTCAGATTATACACACCGGTTTGCTGTACTAGTAACGAAGTGGCATGTTCTGTTTACGTGACAAACCTTACTAATTAGCTGTGTCGGTTGGTGGTGGGCTTAACGACACATATTTACGCAATCCAACCCAACAAAAACCTGTATTATGGAGAATGTTACGTTATTGGTGTAGTCAATTATCAGACCAACAACTTGTTCGACTTGTGAATTCAGCTTAATGTGGTGGCTTAAACCCAGATCGCAACCAAGGGACTTTGCGGTGCACACTCGTAATCAGCTCCACGAGCCAACCAGCAACTGCGCATTATTTGGAGGACGCTTCAGCGCACAGCTCAGTAAATTATCACGGTCACTTTACCCAATCTGGCGGAGCCGTAGACGATACCAAGTCCCAGCGCAGAGTAGCGCGCCATCTGAAATGAAGAGCACCAGAAAATCCACGTTTAGTCTCGACAACAGCTCAGGTAACTGTCATAAAGGGGATAAATACATTTAATCCTTATAGATGGACAAATAAACTCAAGCTGCGTGTCAAGGGTTATCCGACACGTTAAAGATTGAACAATGAGAAAAACCTCTAAAGGGACGGTCAGGGGCAAAATATCAGCACTGACGTTCCTGCATTGACGTATTAAACTTACGTAGTACCAAATACTCTAAATGTGGACCGAAAACCCGGAGAAAAATCCACGCGACCACGGGGAGAACATGCAAACGCGTCAGGGTCGGAATCGAACCCACGATCTCCTGTACACCAGGCGAGGTTGTTAACATTTCCGCACCGCAGCGCCCTACAGAATAACTTGTTTCATCCTTCTAAAATATGCCTCACAGACCAGGTCTGGTCCCGCACGAGTTGAAAGCTTTGTTGATTACTCGGGGGAAGATCGCGATGTAGCGCGTCTGTATTGTACTCGAGTGCCATCATCAACCTTGAGATCGCCCGCACATGGAGCAGGTCAGACAACGTCCACACGTCATTCGCGCTCTATGACGACGGCGCCTGACCCTCTCTGCATGGCCCTCAGCTTTGTTAACGCAGCATAGGCACGCGTCGCCACGAGTAAGAAAGACTGCCTCGTCCTAAGTTTCGACGAAGAAAACAGCGCGGGAAGAACCGGGCGCCACCTCGCTCGCGCCTACCGAGTCCGGGCAAGGTGACCCGGCACGGCGACTAGGCAAGCCGGGGCGCCTCGCTAGGCCGCCGCACGGAAGAGCTCGGCGGAAAGCGAAGCGTTGGGAAAAACGAGGGAATCAAAACGCGCGGCGACTCCCTGGAAGTTGCGGGGAGACTTCCCGAGGGCAGGTTTGAGAGGGAGGCTCAGGGAGCCGCGCGTGAGGCGACAATAACCTTGATGAGCGGAGACACTTGCACGGGGGGAACCATCTTGCTCGCCTGCTGCTGCTGCTGGACGACTCGTCGCGCGCTGACGTCACCGCGTACGATTATAATAGCGCGTGACGTCACCGCGTACAATTATAATGGCGCGTGACGTCACCGCGTACGATTATAATGGCGCGTGACGTCACCGCGTACGATTATAATATAACGTGACGTCACCGCGTACGATTATAATAGCGCGTGACGTCACCGCGTACAATTATAATGGCGCGGGACGTCACCGCGTACAATTATCAAGACGTCTGACGTCACCGCGTACAATTATAAGGACGTTTGACGTCACCGAGTACGATTATAACATGGCGTGACGTCACCGCGTACAATTATAAAGGGGTCTGACGTCACCGCGTGCGATAAAACGGCGCGTGACGCTCCCGCGAACAATTGTAAAAAAAACTTGCCTGATGACGTCACTGCGAACAACTGTAAAGGCTTGCGGGACGTCACCAAGTACAAATATAATTGCGCGTGTCGTCACCGCGTACAATAAAAAAGACTCGTGATGTCACCACGTACAGTTATAATTGAACGTGACGTTGCCAGCCGGTGACGTCACGCCCAATTATAGTGACATCAACGCATTAGCTTTTTTTTAAGTGTCGCGTGACGTCATCACGATATGCCCCCCCCCCCACAGTGTTGCTGGGTGCGACTGTCGCGTCGTCCCGTATGGGATGACGTCACCGCGCTTGTGTCACTACGAGACATGGCGTCACGCGCGCCGCCGCTTCGTTGCGGAATATCGAGACGCGTGACGTCATGGCAACTGGTCACGGTCATTTTCATTGACTTTGCATTCAGAGCATTGAGGCGACCACCAACACTGCCGGCTTCCTCTACACACAGCTCATCAGTGACCCCACCACCACACTGCCGGCTTCCTCTACACACGACTCATCAGTGACCCCCACCACCACACTGCCGGCTTCATCTACACACAGCTCATCAGTGACCCCCACCACCACACTGCCGGCTTCCTCTACACACGGCTCATCAGTGACCCCACCACCACACTGCCGGCTTCATCTACACACGACTCATCAGTGAACCCACCACCACACTGCCGGTTTCCTCTACACACAACTCATCAGTGACCCCCACCACCACACTGCCGGCTTCCTCTACACACGACTCATCAGTGAACCCACCACCACACTGCCGGTTTCCTCTACACACAACTCATCAGTGACCCCCACCACCACACTACCGGCTTCCTCTACACACGGCTCATCAGTGACCCCCACCACCACACTGCCGGTTTCCTCTACACACAACTCATCAGTGACCCCACCACCACACTGCCGGCTTCCTCTACACACGGCTCATCAGTGACCTCACCACCACACTGCCGGCTTCCTCTACACACAACTCATCAGTGACCCCACCACCACACTGCCGGCTTCCTCTACACACAGCTCATCAGTGACCCCACCACCACACTGCCGGCTTCCTCTATACACAGCTCATCAGTGAACCCACCACCACACTGCCGGCTTCCTCTACACACAACTCATCAGTGACCCCACCACCACACAGCCGGCTTCCTCTACACACAACTCATCAGTGACCCCACCACCACACTGCCGGCTTCCTCTACACACAGCTCATCAGTGACCCCACCACCACACTGCCGGCTTCCTCTACACACGGCTCATCAGTGAACCCACCACCACACTGCCGGCTTCCTCTACACACAACTCATCAGTCACCCCACCACCACACTGCCGGCTTCCTCTACGCACAGCTCATCAGTGACCCCACCACCACACTGCCGGCTTCCTCAACACACAACTCATCAGTGACCCCACCACCACACGGCCCGGCTTCATCTACACACAGCTCATCGGTGACCCCACCACCACACTGCCGGCTTCCTCTACACACAGCTCATCAGTGACCCCACCACCACACTGCCGGCTTCCACTACACACAGCTCATCAGTGACCCCACCACCACACTGCCGGCTTTCTCTACACACGGCTCATCAGTGACCCCACCACCACACTGCCAGCTTCCTCTACACACAGCTCATCAGTGACCCCACCACCAACACTGCCCGCTTCATCTACACACAGCTCATCAGTGACCCCACCACCACACTGCCGGCTTCCTCTACACACGGCTCATCAGTGACCCCACCACCACACTGCCGGTTTCCTCTACACACAACTCATCAGTGACCCCACCACCACACTGCCGGCTTCCTCTACACACAACTCATCAGTGACCCCACCACCACACTGCCGGCTTCCTCTACACACAGCTCATCAGTGACCCCACCACCACACTGCCGGCTTCCTCTACACACGGCTCATCAGTGACCCCACCACCACACTGCCGGCTTCGTCTACACACGGCTCATCAGTGACCCCACAATGGCATTGTCCGGCTGCCGCTGAAACAATGGACAGCACTTAACCGGATCCGCACCAACTGATTAAAAAATATCTGCAGCTGACCAAGTCTCTTGCTCTATGCCCACGTTCATCAGCAGCTCCTATTCATTCATAGCCCTATTTTCCCTAAATCCGCTGTTGGATGAGCGCCTCTCTCATGCCGTTATTTGGCCATACTTCCCCACGCCGGTCAGTGCGGGCGGGTGACGGCGTGGTGCCACGACTGCTCTCCCGTGCAGCACAGCACTTACATGATGTCACCGCAGCACAGCAAGCTCTGCGTGACAACGGTGATCACACAAAAAACACTGAACGCAATTCGTCGTGAACACTGCCCTGAGATGGGGGGGAAAATATGTAATAGGCGCGCTTTCTGGCAAATGGGCCATCTTCATAACACGAAGACGATGTCTCTCATTCATCCGGGCATCATCGTCGTCGTTATCCACGGCCAATCCAGCATGAGATTGACTAACGCGGTTGGCTAATACGTATGGTGCGAAAGAAGTTCAACATACATGCATAGGGGCCGTCCATAAATGACGTCACGCGATTTTGGACGATTTTTGATCCCCCCCACCCCCTCGTCACACGGCGTCACAAAAAGTCAGACCCCCCCCCCACTGAAATATGACGTCACAAAGCTCTGCCCCCCCCTCCCCCAAATAAAACATGCTTCAAATCGCTTTAAACTATTGTCATTGTAAGTGCGTATTTAATGTGGCGCTGCACTCTGATGTTGTAGGAGAAAACATTTATTAAAAAGTATATTTAATTAAGTAGAACGTGTTGTCTATATTTATTTAAAGTTGCGCATTTTGATGTGACGTCACGTTTCCCAAATTCCCCCCCTCCCCTCGTTACACATCGCCACAAATGTCTAAGCCCCCCCCCCCCCCCCAGGTGCGTGACGTCATTTATGGACGGCTATATGATTTGTTGCCTACCGACATTACGCACACACAGAGCGTCTGCTGTTAAAGAGGCACTTCGCCAGAAATGTAGCCCATGACATATCTGTTTCCTCGATAGATCGGGCAGCGAGTACAAATCGTTGAGTGCGTTGGATATTCTTAGGTTTTTTCGGTAAAGTCACTGTGTAGGTAAAACATTTAAATTAATAAAAGTAAAATAAAAAAAAATCACGACGTTTCGGAGGCAACACAAGCTTCCGTCTTCAGGTGGAACCGTCACAGCCACGACAGCTGTATCAAGTAAATGAGAGAGTACAAGTTCAAGTTCATTAATTAGGTATAGCCCTGTGAGCCATTCAGCTCTTGAATCGGGTGCAACCGCAACAAACAAAAAACAAAAACATGAACAAAAAAACATCTTAAAGTGAATATGTGACTAAGTGCAAACAGAAAATCCAAGAAAAGACAGCAAAAAATATTGCAGAAAAAACACCGTACACCAACGCTGTGTGCAAAAATCCCAGTGGGATGCAAGTCAAACAACAACAACAACCACAAGACAACTTAGATTAAGGCCATCAGTCTAACTCTGTACTACAACAACACAAACATGGCTAAACCAATACACTTTTCGAAATCACCAAAATAAAGCCATGAAGGCAATGAAAAAGCAATCATAGGAACTGACGGAATTTTCACAATAAATGGCATAAACAACATGTACTACCAAAACCCTGCAGCCATAGCTGGCTGCATGAGTCACTCCACAACAGCAGGAGCATCAATCGGAGTATTGTAATTTTTCAATGCACCTTTAAGATCAGCACACTAAATCAAAACACAGGTCATACTTTGTAGCGATCATCCGGAGCGAAACATTTTATTTTAGGTCACTGAATAGCACTGGCAGCTAGGGGTGTACAACTCCTCTAAAGCAGTTTTGAGTGAAGATCTCATAGGTAGTGACTCAAGTTTCAATTTATTTGCAACAGCATTCCAGACCCTGGGGGCATCAATAGCAAAGGCCCTTCCTCCAGTATATGTACGGCAATAGGGAATATTAAGCTGGTAAATGAGTGTAGACCTTAGGTCAAATCCGTTTATATAATGGTTGGAGAGGGGGGGAAGGGCCAAGTACGGCACACTTTTTATTAATATGGTAAGGTGAGGCTTAATAGGCTGAGCCTTTGTTATGGAGAGGTACGGTTTGTGACTAAGCCTGGCCGAAACGTCGTGATTTTTATTTTATTTTACTTTTATTAATTTTAATGTTTTACCTACGTGACTTTACCGAAAAAACCTAAGAATATGAATCCTTGCAGTCACGAAAGCTTCAAATCTAGAATGAGTGCGTTGGATTGCGAGACGAGGCAGTGCGTCGTGCTTGCATTGCGCCCCCTCGTGGCTCAACTGCACCGCTTCAAAATTAAAACGCGCCTGGGTGGGGACATCATTTGGTCAGGCACTGCCAAGGCAACCGCCAGGGGTGAGTTAATTAAATGTTTGACCAAATATAACAGTCATAATATAGGTTTTTGGGTCAGATCGCGTTATTTATAAATGTGTCGTAACCCTCCACCACCCGACAGGGCCAAACAGTAAAAAAATGTGTCAAATGCTGTTGATCCTCTCTTCAGCACACCGGTGGGCTGAAGAAGTGAATTATTTTGTCCTTGAAAACGTGACATTTTTTTACTGTTTGGCCGTGTCGGGTGGTGGAGGGTTACGACACATTTATAAATAACG